CAGTGGACAATGATACCAGGAAAGCAAAATCGTTCCAAAGCTCGCTTGAGATATTAAGGATGTACACTATCGTACGCTTTTGCCTGGTCAAGCATCAAACCATCGGACGTCAATGGAGGTGAGTCGTGTCTGTTCCCAATAAAAACGCATTCTAATAATTCTTTGCTTTGTAGCTGACCAATAAATGACCAAAAAATTAATCATTAGAATTTACTTGCGATTTTGTATTTTTTGATAAAAGCGCAAATCTAATATTTACTTTACGCTATTAAAAATTATCCGTACTTTGGGTTAAATGTAAATAGAAAAAAAATCAAAAAAAATCTATAGTTTGGGTCACATTTTTTCTGAATTTAGTCACTAGAAAGAAAGAAAGAAAGAAAAAACACTCAGTCTTTACAAGTTCGCGCGTACTTTCGCTCTGTCTCTCTAGCTGCCTCTTATAATTTCTTTTTTTTTCTCTCTCAGTCACTAAATGTATATGGTCATAATAGTAACTGTAATAGAAATATATAAATAAATAAAAATAATCTATCTATTTATTAAATTTATATTATCTAATATTATAAAAATATATTGTATTATATTTTGAATCGATATATCGCACAAAAAAATTCAGATCTTGGAGTACAAAAACAATCTCTAGGCATTTAGCTTTGTTTACCTTGCTAGTTAGTCCATGACGCGTATACTGTTCATATTATTAATATCATTTAGTTTAGTATCATTAGCTTCTCTCTTATTTGAATGAATAATATACTTGTATAAAACAACCCAAAATAAAGGCACCTGTCAAGTAAAAGGGCAATTAAGGGAAGTTGTATAAATATATAGGGTGTGTATATTAAAAAGAAAAAAAGAAAAGTGATTATAGCTCAAGGCATAATTACAATAAGTACATAGGTACTTTGAACAAGAATATATATATATATATATATAAAGATAAAGATTTATTTTATTTTATTTTACACAAAGATTTACTTTGTTAGATTCCTCTAAAAATGGGGATTTTACACAACTTTGAGATATAAATAAGTCCATAAAAGTCATATATATATATATGTATACATATTGAACTATGATTAAACGGTTTGGTAATCAATTACTTTAATAAATCATTCAATAATATTATATAAATAATAACCCTGTTTTGTCTTAATCTTTAAACAATAAAGAAAATCGAAAGGTAATCTTATTAAGCAAAAAATACATCAAGATTGTTCATTTACTGCACAAGCCTAAATAATAATAAAGCAAATGATACAGTCTGGTTAGTGGATATTGTCGGTTACAAGAAGAAGAAGAAGAAAAAAAATTAAAATTTACGATTACACAAAGATTATAAATGGCGGCTAATAAAATAAGAATCATTGTCGGTTAATAAAAGACGATGAACGAAAGACAAGACTTGATTTTTGCCCATTAATGCAATTCCTCTTCTTTGTTCCTTTATTTTTATTTCCAAGATGTAATGAGCATAATGAAATGGCTTATAATCCAATGAAAGGTACCTTAACAGAAACTACAGACCCAAAGCATCTTACTTAAGCAACAACTAGCCTGCCAGAAAAGAATATTGTAGTCAAAGAAACAAAAAAGAAAAATTTTAGACACCAAGTCTCCCAAATCATTATCTGAGAAATATTATTCAAATTACCGTAAAAAATCTTCATATTGAAGCCAAAGTTAAAAACTCTGTTGACAATTTAGCGATAAATGGCAAATGTGTCTTATTAAATAATGGATCAATACTATTTACGGTATTTGATGTTATTGTTGTTGAAGAGAAAAGGAATTACTTGAAAATCATCTTAACTCCACTGTATGCTCAACGATTGTTTGTTTCCAAACCCAAGGCTTTGGAACTTATTTAACATATTAAACAATTATTCTTGGGAACGTGAGGTTTTCAAGTGATGTATGAATAGATTATAACAGCAAGTTATTATAGCATGTTAGTTTCTCAAAGTATATACTCTTATTTGCTTGGCAAAAAAAAGAACAACCATTGAGCACAAAATACTTGAAAGATAAATAGTAACCTTACTACAATAGCGCAGACAAAATGCTTCCTTTGTTGTGTCTGGCGGGTGCTTCTTTAGAGTTTTAATCATTTTTGAATAAAGCTTTGTTATATCGTATTGGTTCCTGCTACTCGGGGGTTTATTGTGGTAGCCACCAGAAAATTCTATCAAACCTGTTGAAAAGGATCTGTTGTCGACCTTGACAACCCCACCGTCCCACTGTGTTTTATCAATAGAAAAGCATTTGCCTTCTAACCAAGCGAGCTGAACCAAATAGTTATCTAACATGAATAACTGGTTATCAATATAAATGATAAAGTATGTAGCAACTTTTCTTTTAAATACTTTTCTTCGGCTCAGAGGGTTATTGGGCGAATGTATAAAGTCTAGGCTAGAGATGAATAGATTAGAAATATCTGAGCATATATAGGACAATAATGGATAATGCATTACAGGTAGCGGGTGGTTGCTTCAATGAAAGCAACATCGAAATAAAGTATGAAATCAAAACCTCGTTTGAAGCTATTTGTATATAAAACTTGTCGTAAAAGTAATAAAGACATAGTGGAACTCTTAAGAGTATTAAATAGCTTTGTAGCATGATCAAATAAAATAAAAGAATCAGTGTTAGTTGCAGCAGCAATTCGATCAAATACCTCGACTGAAATTTCAGACTTTGGTATCTTTACTGTTATTGGGCATGTCAAATCGATTGTTTTCAGGCGTTCAACTCTACACAACAATAAGACAATTTTAAATAAGCACTTTTATTCTTTAACATCAAACACTTACTTATCAGAAACTAGAGCAGGTCAGTACTGTAAAGCAATAGAGTTTCCTTTACTCTACCCTTGTTCATTGCCCTCAGGATCATTGTCCCCGCGTTTTTCTTCTTTATATGAATTAAAAGCCGCTAATTTTACGGAGACGACGTTTCCTGGTAGGACATGCCATTTTGATTCTCCCGGATCACAAACTGCGACTTGCTTTCCGGCATGGAATGTCTACATCTTGTCCCTAAGTATACAGAATATTCATACCAAGGTTTTCTTTTGTGTTTCCCAAAAAGAAGTGATTATAGGTGACGTAGCGCTTATCTTCCATTTTATCATCTTAGTCTGTTCGTAAGGTTGCTCTTTCTTTCTAATATGATATATATTTACATATTTAACTGCTAATTATATTATTACCTCTTATTGCAGCTTAAAAAATTATAATTATTATTATAATTACCCGTATTAGAATTGAAAGGGGGTAGTAGAGGGGGATGGGGAGGGGGAGGGGAGGGGGGTCATTTAAGATAAAATATTATTTTATGCCCTACAGAGAAAACTTTAAAAAAAAAGTGTACTCCGCCTTTGTAGTAATCCGATCTTACGGTTACATTTTTTGATCCAATTGGTGTCCCGGTAAGTTAGGTCTTTATAGACAAAATATAAATTATTGTATTTTCGGATGAACTTTAGATCATTTTCCATATATATATACATTATATTATCATTTAAACGAATCAGAGGCTGAGTTTAGACAATCTAAGGTTTTCTTTTTTTTTTCTCTTTTGGTTTGGATGAGTTATGAGTAATACGCCTATTATGCTTATATATGTTTTTAAAGAAAGGGTATTAATTCATGTCATCTTTTTGCTTAATATATTTTCCTTTAAAAACCAAGTATTTAAAAGTACTTTATCAAAACAACTCTTATTTTGGTAAAGTAACTCTTTTGCATACTATTTTATTTAAAGAGAGGCCTGTGACCTTTAATGATAATGATAATGATTCACGATTAATGGGATGTATATTCTGCCCTGTATTTTCTTGTACTATGAAGAAATTATAAAAGTAAAGTTGCATGAATAAAAGGTAAAGATGTAGGCGGTAAGGGGGTTGAGAGGCTTTATCTATTTTTGCCCGCTTTACTAATAATGTCAACTATGAATAAAAACAATAATAGGATAAAAGAGTAATGAATTCTGTAATTAGTCCTTTTTGATAAAATATAAGCCATGTTGTTCTATTTTCATCCAAGAGTAACAATGGCTGATTTTATTATAACAATTAAATTAATTTTCAATATCCCAAAAGCCCTTTGTGCCTTTGTGCCTTTCTTTCTTCAAAAGCGTCTATTGCTGTTATTTTTGTTGCTGTTTAATACTAACCTTAATCTTTGTACCATAATCCTTTTAAGATATTCAAACTTTGAGGAAATTGGATCATTTTTTTTTATCATTTTCTTTTGTACGAAAAACCGTCTCCCCGTTTTCGAAGAACAGTTTCAATTCATTAGTTTAGATAGGCACACTCTTTAAATTCATAACCTCTTAATGCTCGAATTATCTAGAATTATCATTTAAATTAATATACTTTATGAATACTACAAATGATATACATTTCTTTCTATTTAATCTTCTTTCTCTATTAATTGTAAACAGATGAAGCTTGGTATGATTGGATAGTTGAAACATTTTCTACTGGATATATTTGTGCCATTTTCACCTGTCTACCGCTATTGTATACAGAAGTTACAAGTAGATCAAACGCAATGTCTTAAAAGAACTTAGTGCACAATTAACTGCATCTCACAGCAATAATAACTATTGAAAAAAAAAACTTCGACATCTGGGTCAGAAGATGTTTGAATGAGAATGAGAATTGAAACAAACTGCATTTGTCAATACAGTACGCTTTCTTTTTTTTTATTGACCGCAATAAAAGTTAATGCTTAAAAGAAGTCACAGACGTCACGCACACACTTTTTTTTTTAAGAATTCTATCAAAAGGTGTGTAAAAAAAGGTTAAACAAGGTACTAAGTACATTTGATCCTTGCTACCATGTCTACATTGCAGCAACAGCTCAAAAAGATCGGCACTGCCGATCTACGCAATGTATCCGAGGTTTCTCGGAAATTCAAAGCGTCCTTCCTCTTCACTGCCCGTGAAGCCGCAGATCAGGATCTGGACACCATTTATTCCATTGCTTACAATGGTATTATGGAACTCACTATTCTTGACAGCAAGTTTGCTGCATACGAGAGCACTCTTTTCTCCGAAGAAATGAAGTCTGTTGACAGAATTCTTCAGGTAACACCTTCCACCCTTTATTTAAAAAACACATAAACTGATACTTCTTCTTCTTTCTTTATACATATATAAACAACAAACAATCGAAAAATAATATATATTATATAATAGTCAGAAGAAGAGAACGCCAAATTGAATGCCAGTATCAAGTCTTTCTTGCAAAATCTGTCCCCTTATTTCCTCTTAAAGCCAGCCGGAAAGGTGTTGGAATACTTGATCCGTCGCTTCAGAATCAACGAATTTAACGTTGAAGATATCCTGATCTGTATTTTCCCATACCACGAAACCAAAGCATTTGTCAAGATGGTGACTATCTTGAACATTGAGTAAGTTCAATAAACTAAAATATAGAAAAATAAAGGTGTAGTGTACAGATTGTTTTACAACATGTTATTTAATTTTTTTTTTAATTCGTTCATTAGACAAAATTCGCCTTGGACCTTCTTGACACCTATTCAGAAGACAGGCATACCTTTGGAACGATCTTTGTTGGTCGCTCGCATGGCACGCAAGAGAAACATCCTTAACTTTGTTACTGACCTCGTCATCAAGTCTCCAGTTCATTTCCCTACTCTTTACTCTTTCTACGCAGCAACCATGATCGAACTTGTATCCGAGCGTGTCATAAATGAAGACTCTGTCATGGTCATTACCGGAAATTTAATCGACGGTATGAACACCAGCGATGTGCCTGAATTGCAGATTGCTTCCTACATGATCCTCTCACAGCTCGCCACCAAGGTCTCTATGACCAAGGAAGCTGTACACGCACTGACCGATGCTGCCATCAAGCACTACAACAAGTCTTATTTCAACTATTGTCTCTTGACCGTTGTCCACTTGGCCCAGTCTCAGACAAGCTGTGTTAGACTCGGAAAATCCGCCACAAAGAGACTCCTGAAGGCCTCTGCTTTTGACAAGACCCTCTTGGAGATCGCAGAAAAATATGCCATTGATCGTTTCTTTACAGTTATCGTAGGAGCCTTGTGCGACGCTTCCAAGGTTGATCTCTTGGTTGAAATTGTTCTTCAGGGCCTGATCTCCAGCGACAACATCCGCCTTTTGTGCGAAAACACTATCGAAGGTTACCTCAACCTTGTTGAATCTGGATGCACCGAAGAAACTAAAGAAAGTTACACTAAGCAGTTCCAGCCTCTTTTGGCAACTGTGTCCCAGCGTTATGTGGATGAATTAGACACCGTACTCGAAGCCAAACTCAACTCGTACGCCAACAAATCAGACGAAAAATCCAAGATTCTTTATGAATTTGCCTCTATCGCATTCAAGGGTACCCGTCACGAAGTCATTGAAGAGGCAAACACCACATTGTACTTGTGCCTCAACAGCCCTGCTGTCACCACTCGTCTTTTGGCTTTGAAGAAACTAGTCGATGTGATGGACAACGAGTCCAGCCCATTAACCCAATCCCCTGAAGTCTTCCAATCTGCCTTTACTGGCTGTCTTAACAGCATTGACGAGACCTTGGTTTATGCTGTCCGTGACGTCCCTGAACAACTCCTCAAGAGTGTGTCTTCTGAAGTTATCATTTCTTCGATCTCAAGCCTCTTGCGCGATAATAACGTCTTGGCTAGAAAAGAAGTTGTCACAATCTTCAAATTCTTGCTTGGTCCTTTTGTAGCAAAGTACCCTAACAAAACTGCCAAAGTCGCTCAGCTCTTGGCTACCTTTATTTTTGCTGCCCCTACTGATCAAGTCAAGCTGCTCGAGAAAGAATCCACTGCTTCCACTAAGGATGCAGTCTTGAAGAGCATGCTTTCCAGCATGAAGAGCGCCTCCAAGAAACCTGCTTCATTGAGCACCTTGTTTGTCAAACTTGAGGCTGATGTCATTAAATCCGAAAAGGACGACCATTCTTTGTTGTTCTGGATCCAAGGTATCCAAAGCCAGAACGTTTCGACCCGCACACTGGCCTTGTTGGTACTCAACCGTGCTGTATTTGTCTCTGCTGATGAGAGACAATATAAGGTCGCTTCAAAATGCTTGTCGGCTATTACAGAGTCTCTCACTGAGGAGCAGTGCCATGATCTTTACACCGTCAAACTTGCCAGTGCTTCTGCTATTATTAGCAGCGAAGGATTGCCAGTAGAATCTTTTGTAGAGCAGTTAAAGAAGAACAGTGTTACTTCTATCCTCCAGATCAACTTGGTTCAGTCTACCTTGGACAACATCACTGTCTCACTCAAGCACGCAACACAAGTATCCTGGTTCTCTGAGAAAAAACCCCAGGCTACCGAGTCTTATTGCCATACAGTAACCGAGCTCTTCAAGGTCTTTGCCAATGGAGCAACCCTCGGAAGCTTTGAAGAAATGATCACAAAGTTGGTTTCTATTCAATTGAAGGATAATGTCTTGAGTTTCCTCATGAATGTTTGGAGTTATAATGGTAAGTCTTTAATATTTTCTTTATCTTTTTTTTATATGTATTATTTTATTTATTTAAGTTTTTTGTTTTATTCATATATAGACAATGCATTCCTTGTTAAGGCCCGTGCCCTTCAAATTGCCGCTACATACATTTCCCAGGTCGCTCCCAAGAACACAATCGACTTTCAACATGTTCTCCCAGTACTTTTGCCTTGTTTGACTCAGGAATATCTTGCCATCCGCATCAACGCTCTTCGCTGTCTTGAAAGCATTCAGAGCACATACAAGAGTATTGGACTTCCCACAGGAAAGAAAGTGTACTCTTCTGATGACAGTGCAGATGCCAATACCAAGGCTACCGGAAAGGCTGTTGTCGAGAGCGCAAAGTCTCTTTACGACATTACTGTCAGCTTCCCTGACCTTCGTACCAACGATGCTGCTCACTTTGTTGACTACCTTTCCTACAGAAAGGAAGAAATCAAACAGGACCAAAAGTACACTATCCTCATGCTCAAGGATTATGTCCGTATCTGTGACGAGTCCAAGGAGAAGCAGCAGAAAGTGCGCAAGAACCACATTATCGATTTCTTGCTCAACCATGTCATGCATGCTCCTTTGGCCGATATTCAGATCAACATCCTTTCGGTGTTGAACGAAGTCGAGACTCCTCGCAAACTCCAGCAACTGTACCCTCTCTTGGAGACTGTTCTCGACAGCCCACGCACCACAAAGAGCACAACACTTGTTGCGCTTTTGATCCACTGCTACTCACCTCTGAATGCCGCTGATTTCGGTTCCAAGAACGACAAGACCCTGGCGCTCTTCCTGCGCCTTCTTTCTAACCGTGATGCTCTCGAAGGTGAAGATGAAGATGGCTGGCAGGCATCCACTCGCCGCTTTGCACTTAAACAGATCAGCAGTGAGTTCTTTGCCAAGGCCAATGAAAAGGCACAGAAGAGCATTCTTTCCTTGCTTATGGATATTGCTACCAATGGTCAACAGAGCGACGTAAGAGCCGCAAAGACTGTGCTGGCCGAGATCCCCATCGCAGCCAAGATGCTCGAGGAAATGTTGTTTGTTGTCGCAAAGTCTATCTCTTCTTCTACTTCTGAAACTGAAACCTCTACTTTGACTACCAAACGTGCTCGTACTGCCGAGTAAGTATTTGTGTTCTTTACTTTACTTGATTTTATTTTTATTTGTTAAAAATTGAAACTTACACTTTTTTCTCTTATATATATATATGTAAAAAAGAAAACCTGCCGAGAAGAAGTCTGTCGATTTGTATGAGCTTGTTACTGTTCTTGAACTTATTGAATCCAAGACAATTGAGAACGATGTTGCTTTGATTAAGCCTTTGTTCGAGGTTCTCACTGCCATGGTCAACGCCGATCTTCGCGACTCTCCCGTATCTCTGGAATACATCAACCAAATCATCATGTCTTCCCTGACCCGCATCATCCAGTCTGCCGAAGAAAAGAAGGTCCACGTTGACGAATCGACTCTTCGTGTTGATGTTGTTGTACAATGCATTCGCGTCACTGGCAACCCCCAGACCCACAACCAGGCTTTGCTGTTGATGGCTACCATTGCATCCATGTACCCAGAGTGCGTCCTGCACAACATCATGCCCGTGTTTACTTTTATGGGTGCAAACGTCCTGCGCCAAGACGACAATTACAGTTTCCAGGTTATCCAGCAAACTCTCGAGAAGATCATTCCTCCTCTTGTAGCATCCAGCCGTCTTTCGAGCAACAACGAGGCTGCTTTGGCCCTGCAGGTCAAGCCAATCATCAAGGTGTTTGTGGACGCAATGTTCCACATTCCCAAGCACAGACGTCTTCGTCTCTTCTCTGTTCTCATCCAAACTCTGGGCGAGGACGAGTTCCTGTACGCCATTATTTCACTCTTGCTCGAGAAGTTTACCGAGAAACTGGCAAAGGGTGCTCGTACAGAAGCCGATTCATTGACCGAATTCAGTTTGACAATTAGCCAACAGTTTAGCCCTCAGACCCAGATGAAGGCAGTCTTGTCTCTCTTGAACGGTCTATTGGTTCTTCCAAACGATAAGTCTGAAGACGAAGTCATGAACCAAGATACCCTATTTAACACCAACGAGCACAATGCCAAACAGCTGCGTCAGTACAAGCTTGCTACCCTCAACTTTGTCGGCCAACTCTTGGGATCTCGTAGCTTCTTGGGTAAGCTTATGGCACAAGCCAATTTGAGCGAAGAGTTTGAAAAAGAGATGCAGCCCTATTACTTGACCGCTGTTGAGTACATCCTCAAGATCGTCACTTACTTCACCGGATTCCGTGACGGTTATGCTGTTTCCCAGAATGCCAACCCTAGTATCACCAAGTTCTGGCGCGGAATGCTCAAGGTTGTTTACGATGATCTTGCCAAGGTCAACGCTCTTTTGCCTTTGCCTGCCTTTGTTGATGTTGTGTCGCACCTGATCAAGCATTCTGAAGTGTCTATCCGTCGCAAGGCTATGGATATGTTCAACGAGAAGCTGCAGGTTTTCAACCAGATTACCGAAGAAGACGAAGTTCTGTTGGTTGGTATGGTTAAGCAATTCACTGATGTGATCGAGAAGGAGTCTGCTCTGTCTGGTGAGGAGGATTGCCTGGTAAACAAGCAGTCCGCATTGCTGTGCATTTCTTCGTTGGCTTCCTTGTTTGGTGCCATCTTCCCCGAACAGTTCTCAGAAGCTATCCCTGTTGTAATTGGCAAAGATTGCTTGTTGCTGTCAAAACCGCAGGTCAAGATTTCCAGTCTTGTGTGCCTTACTGTCATTTGGTAAGTTTTTAACGATAGTTTAAAGTGAATATTCCAACAACAAAAGGAAAAGAAAAAGAATTACGATTAACAGGTTTCCTTTTTTTCGTTTTAATATCAATTTTAGTCAAGAGATTGGTCCTCGTGCTATGCCCCACTTGCCCAAGTTTATGCCTATTGTAATCGACATCTTATCCATGACTGTCGAAGCTGAACGTCCCAATGCAATGTTGCAGCTCAGTGTTATCAGTGCTTTGGAGACCATTGTCAAGGTTCTTCCCCACTTCATTAGCCCTTACCTGTCCAAGATTCTTGCCAACCTCCTCCATCCTTCCATCTACACATCCGATGAAACCAATGCCACTCAGAAATTGTTGGCCAAGGAAAAGGTTATGTCTGTCCTTGTCGAGATTGCCACCAATGTTCCCGCACGTACACTCTTTGGCCCTGTATTTACTTCTTACCCCCTCGCTGTCAAGAACGGCAAAGAGGTAAGCTATACATATATATTATTTTAAAAGATTGTGTTCCTAACATATTCGTTCTTTAGTCTGTCCTTGCTCTTCTCAAATTGGCATCCGAAGCTATCCGTGCTGTATCACGCGACGCTATGACTGCTCACTACAAGCAGCTCTTCAAGTTCTTCCTCACTGCCTTTGATATCCGCCGCATCCACAACGACATTTTTGATGATGAGGCTATTAACGAAATCGAATCTGCCGTCATCTCTGCATTCCTGGATTTGGTCATGAAGTTGAATGAGACACTCTTCAAACCACTCTTCCTCAAGGTTGTCGACTGGGCCACTGTTGAACTTGCTGTTGACGGTAGCACTGAATCTGTTGACGCCAAGAAGCGCGTCTTGTTCTTCTATAAGCTTCTTGATTCTTTGCTTGATAAACTCAAGTCAATCTTTACTCCTTACTTCGGCTATGTTATTGACGATGTCATTGATCGCCTCGACGCTTATCGATCTGAGGAGAAGCAGGAAGAACCCGACACTCTCTGGAACTTCATCATGTCTGCTCTTCACAAGTCATTCTTGTACGACAATGATAACCTCTGGAACGCCGAGAAGTTTGAAAAGATTCTTGATCCTGTTGTAGATCAGATGCTGGTTACTGCCAAGGGCGATGCCCCAGACTACTTGACTCGTATGACAACATACTTAGTACCATTGGTTGGACAGATGGCTGTTACTGTATCAAACGATACTCTGTGGAAGCCATTGAACCACAAGATTCTTATGAAGACACGTGAAGATATTCCTGAGATCCGACTGGCTGCTTTGCGCTGTATCGAGGAGTTCTACAGCCGTCTTGGTGAAGAGTGGCTTTTGTTCTTGGCTGAAAGTATCTCGTTCTTGGCCGAGTTGATGGAAGATGACGATGTACGCGTTGAGAAACTCGTCCAGTTGGTCAATGCACAGATTGAAACACACTTGGGTGAAAGCTTAGATAAATTCTTCAATTAGAGAGCATACATAAATATATTTACACAAGCAATTAGTGCTTCTATGTTATAATAAATTGAAAATCGACTCGTATAGTTATTTTTTGTATCAAATATAATAATAAATTATTTCCATATGTATGATACGTTGTATATATATATATATATATTTCAGTATTTAATTCTAAGTTTCTTTTTTATAATTATTAAGCTTGATGTTATAACAACTACTTGGAGATGTATAGAATGACTGTAGATTCTATCAGTTTTATTGCTTTCATTTTTTAGAGAAAGTGCTTTGAATTTTCTTTCACTTCCTTACAAAAATTGTTTATAATGGCCAACAACATCAATGACAGCCAAGATGACAATTCTGATGGAAGCAACCTCATCAACTTTTATGTGACTAAAAATGCTACCAATAAAAGAACTTTTATTAAGATAACGTCTCTTAAAGATAATACTAACACATATGTAAAAGACTCTCTTTCTTCCAGAAAGAACTTCACTGTAGAGGAGGATATTCAGATTTGCCACCCATATATCTTTATTTCCACCAATGCAGTTCATAAATTTGAGCAGAATAGTGATAAATTTTGGTCAAAAATAACTGATCATTTTAATGACTTCTTTTCTGAGCACGGAAAACCCCCCAGTTGGGGAAAACAACTTTGCAAAAGTCTAAGCTTAAGATAAACAAATAATACAGCTGGTAAGGACACATGTGAAATAAACATGTAAGAAAAGACAAATGGCATGAAAGCTAAGAATAAGTAACTAGGTACTGAAGACCTTTGAATTGGGAACGAATTTCAGCAGGGGTAAGAACTCCAAAGAGAGATTCCATTCAGAAACTCGGACGATCCATTTATGAAACCTGACAACACTACAATATCAGACCAAATCTGTCCACATATGCACAATTTCGGGCTAGCACAGATGGTGGAGGCTGACGGGGAACAGTAGAGAATTTGGACATAAATCCTAGGCCCACACATGCGTTCAATATTTTGAAATTACTTGCTTACATTTATACTAGTAAAAGTGGAACAAACTCCACAGTCAAAGATTGTTACAAAACTACCTGCTTAGAATTGTTACATATTTCGCCTTTTCCTTAGGCTTCTGACTCCAAACTGTTCATAGAGAATGCCAAAAATAGGTGAAGGTAGCAATGAGTCAAGCCAAGTGACTTTGGAGATGAAGAATTTTTTAAATATAAAAAAAAATAGAATAATGATCGATATAACTATGAATTAAAACAAAATTATTTTTTAGCCAAAAAGAAAAAGACTGCTGTGAAAATGAATGGCAAATGGGTACCTAATTTCTGCACAGACAGATACTTTTCATAAACATAAGGGAGGTTTTGAGAAGGCTAATGATTGAACCACAGAAGATTCAGATTATCATGCTGCCCTTTTCGTTACTTCGTCGTCCATAGGACTATATGCTTTTTTGCAGATATCAGGTTAATTTTTTTTTGTCTGATAGTTCGGGTACGATCCTCTTTATCTCCCACTGTGAATCTCTTTTTAACAAAATCAAGACAGTAAAAAAATGTAATAATAAAATAACAGCAAACCGTATTATTATTATAGACAAAGTTAATGGCACACTGTGAGTTGGCTATATAGTCGAAGTATAAGTTCAGCGACAAGAAAATGAATATCTGTAGAAGGACAATTTTAGTAAAGAACAAATTAAAGAGATCTAGTTAAATACTTTGGGTCATTTTTACAGACACACCACCGCCACTTCAAAGTTGATTTGAATGAGACACCACACAAATCTGGAACAGCAAAAATATGGACAGAATTTTTATTTGTCTGCCAAATTAAGGGGACACTTTTGTCCAATTTACACTGTTTTCCAGTTTTCCAATTTTCCAGATTTAGGACAATATTTTTGAATGAGCTATACCAAAACCAAACCCCGCCGTGCCATAGTGAACTAAATGAACCACTTGACAAATCCCGAGAGCAGAAATTTGGGACAAAGTGTGAATTTGCCCATCAAATTAAGTGTACACTTTTGACCAATTTACTGTTATCGGGCTATCGGGCTATCGGGCTATCGGGCTATCGTGATTCAGGATTATATTTTTGAATGAATGCCTCATTAGAAAATACACCTTGTCTACCTTACCAAGGAACACAAGTATAATAAGACAGCTCTCAAGTGTAATATAGTAGTACCAAAAACATTATTAATAATATTTTTTAAAGACAAATGTAAGATCAAAATCAAAGAGACAAAACATAAAGATAATATCAAAGTCAAATGAGATCAAAATTTATTGTTCAAAGATTTTTATAAGGGGAATATAAGTTAAGTTAAATTAAATTAAGTATACTAAGATATTCCAGGCCATGCTAGTCCAGTCGAGTCCAGTCGGTTTCAGTCAAGTCCAGTCGGTTTTTTTTTGGTCCATTTGATTTCTCTTTTGATCTTTTTTTTTGTCCGTTTTTTTTTTATTTTTTTTTGTCCAGTCAATATAAGCTAAGAGTGATAGGAGGAGGAGGATTTTGGTATTGAAAAATAATAAAGGGGATAATTTGGACTTTTTGTTTTTTTTCTTGTTTTTTTGATTCTTTTTTTGATTCTTTTTTTTTGTCCAGTCAATTTCACGGAATAGTAATAAGAGAATGATTTTGATATTGAAAAGAATAAAAAAGATAATTTGGACTTTTTGATTTTTTTTTTGATTTTTTTTTGTCCAAACACAGCACACATAATAAAGGGGATAATTTGGACTTTTTGATTTTTTTTTGATTTT